AAGGTAAGACCTGTTCAAATTCAAATTATTCTTGATAGGTTTTTCTGAAATTAATAAAACACTTTAATTCCCAATTTCTACTGTTTCAATACTGTTTTTACTATTTCAAATTATATAGTAAATAATTACTAGTGTTCTTATTTTTTAATTTCCCCAAATATTATAAAACACTTTAATTCCCAATTTCTACTGTTTCAATACTGTTTTTACTATTTCAAATTATATAGTAAATAATTACTAGTGTTCTTATTTTTTAATTTCCCCAAATATGTATAGTCAGTAATATGAGTTTTTAATGTTCTGATAAAGATTTTTAAAGATCATAGAATGATTGCGATCACACATCTGTGCCTCAGCAGCAGCCGTTCCCTCAGCCTGACATACCCTCCCCCTGCCCCCATTCCCTCTTCTCTACTCCGTCATCTCATGTGCATCTTCTAAAACCAGTTTAAATGTTGAGACTGCTTTGCATGGTTTCAGCTTGCTGTGCAAAGAGAGGATTGCCTGGGTGATTAAGTCGCAACTTTCTGCACACCCAAGTTTGTGGTTGTCTTGCCAATGGGTTTCAGCGCCGGGCGAGTTCACTATGGATTCAGTGACACTGAAAGATGACAATGGAACGTCCTTGGGGTAAAATGGTTATACCCAACTTTATTTCCACGGTGGCAGGTCAGTCACTAGAATCCCATCCACTCAGAACAAGTTTGCACGCAGCAAGCCGGTCTCTGCCTCTGGGCCTCTCTGTTCCCGCAGCCGTCTCAGTATCTGTCCTTGCTACTGCCACCACTCCAGTCTCATCTCTGCTCTCCTGCAGCCTTGCAGCCTTGCCACCCTGTCGCGCCCAGAGCACTGGGTGGAACTCTTTTTATAGAGTCAACAGCCATGTATTGCCCACAGGTGTGCAGTGAGCTAGTCAACCAGGGCCAGGTGAGAATCCTGGCCACAGGAACTCTCATTTTATCCACTGTGGTCTATAAAATTCATGCACACTAAAAACTGGGTAGGCTTGTATGGAGGACTCCTTCCATTTTTTGTTAAAAAGAATTTGCCTTAACTTGGTAAGTGGCAGGGCTTAGGGACAAGTGCGCTGGACTAGGATATTGGGAGCCTTGTGTTCTGGTCTCAGCTTTGTGGCCAAGTAACTGTGTAATCCAGGGCAAACTGCTTAACTCTCTTGCTTCTATTTCCTCTCTGTAAAATAGGGGAGTGAATGAGATAATTCCCAAGCTTCCTTTGTGTACTGCATTTCTGTATTTCTCTGACATTACTACAGAGTGAAAAAAGGTAGAATGACCCTCCTCAAGACTACTTCAATTTGCATAGTAACAGTAAATGTTTATTCAGTTAATAAATAATTAGCATGACTGGTGGGGTAGGGCTATGCATGATTTCATTCTGGTGAAAATCAAAAAATGTTTGATTTTGGTGAGAACCTGCTATTTATCACACTAACTATTTTCAAGTTGCTGTCGCTTATTAAGTGACAGCTGCCATGGTAACTCAGGGTGCACTGTTGTGTATTCCTCAGTTTGAGCACAGTGGTAGGCCCTAGATGAGAAAATATTAATCCCTATTTTGGAGGATCTCACAATGGGGTAGGGAAGCCAGCTTACTCTTCCTGAGGGGAGTGGGGGACATTTGAACTGGATTTTGGAAGATGCACATGAGTTGCCTGGTACAGAGAGAACTGGGGGTGGGAGGAGGCGTTTTAGGAAAGACGGTGGCTGGTGTAAAGGCATAGATGCATAAATGAAAAGAAGACTGTGAACCCTGAGAGCAGAGTGATTGACAGAAGGCGGGTGGGGGAGGAGGGAAGGGCGGCGGGGGAGACTGCTGGGTTCTGTGGAGAAACTGGAAAACACTCTAGGTATTTCTGGCAGGCAGGTTTTAATACAGGGATTATTAATGCAGGGATTTAACAGAGGGGTTAACAGTCCCCCTTATCCAGAGGCTGGGGGGATTCTGTTTCCTCCTGGTGCTTGGGAACAGCATGAAATCTCTGCCAGTGTCTCAGGCGGTACATAGTCTTGGACTAGACAGTACAATAAAGTACAGCCAGTACAGCTGCTGCAAAGACGCAGTGGGCTGCGGTCTGTGCATGAGTCGCTCCTACTGTAAGAGGAAGAACGGCCCCAGCTTCCTCGCTTTCTACAAATCTGCCTGTGTGTATGTAACTGACCGAATCATAGCTGGAACCTGGCAATGACGGGATCTGGAAATGCAGTTCCCAGGCTTCCGGACCCTGTACTGAAGAACTCAGAAGAGGAGTGGAAACAAACTTTGAGGGCCAATATCTAGCACAGCTGCAGAGGCCAGCTGGGGCCAGGCTGCGACCGAATCAGAAAGCCATCTAGAAGAGCCAGGAAAACGCCGCCTGGGGCGCCCCAGCAAGCTTAAAAGCTGTATTGTCATGATTCAGTTTGTTTTACAAGCATTGCTAGTACAGTGGAGGTCATTCTTCTAGACTAAAACAAAAAAACCAGAAAACAGTTTGTACTACAATTACTTGCTAAGTAACTATTATGTACCTCGACCCATGCAATGAAAGAGCCTTCTAGGTTGTTTTTTCTTTTTTTGTGGCAATTTATCCACCCAATATTCTTTGCCTCAATTTTTTTACTGGGTACATATTTTGTGGCAAACATTGTGAATAGAGGTATAAGTCATCTATGATCGTTGACCTTAAGATGCTAATATTGATCCTTTACTTTTCAGTGAAGACTAAAGAAACTTTTAGATTTAGTGGTTAATTCATTGGTTCTCACAGTATTTTCTGCTGAACACTAGTCTTAGTAGATATTCTAAGAAAAAGAAAAGTCCTGCTATTAAACCAGTTTAAAAAAATTTGCATATATATTTCCTCTGGTAAATTTAGGTCTAATAAGTCCTGTAGTAAAAAAAAAAAATGTGTTTAATTTCTCTTTACCAGAATTACCCACTTTTGGTTTATTCTTACTCTCTATCTACTAACAGTTGAGTTCTTCAGGGCACAGTTGGAAATACTAGATGCCTGTATAGATGAGTCAGTCAAATTGAGGACTATCAGTGGGCTATTTACAAACAGGTGATATGAGAGAACCATTAAGAAGAAAACCATAACTAATCAGCTGGCCTTAACATTAAAAAGTAATCAATAGCTATGACAATTACTGCTCTGAGTATATTGTGTCATAATAATCATTTAGGAAAATGCAAATCTTGGACAATGGAAGCTTGTAACTATTTCAATAGAATATTAAATGGTGAGTTTGGCTGCAGAATCAAATGACAGTGATTTAATAGAGGTTTTGCAAACCGGTTACCTAACTATTGAATCCCTGCATCCACAAGGCCTTGAAGGGTTGAGCAAATGGCACTAGACATGGATTTTGTGGAGACATCTTTGGAGAGCTATGCTGTGGTTCCTTGCCTCTGCCTCCCTGGGGCCCCTGTGGGGAGTAATGCGGGTGTTGCCTGCAGCTGGAGATGTGTTCTGGTGTCTGACGCTGGTCTTGGGGACCTGGGGGATGTGGGTGGGTGGGCAGGCTTGGCTCTGGAGGGAGGGAGTGGCTGCTGGGAGTTGGCTGGGCCTTCTCTCCAAGACCAGAACAAGGTCACCGGAGGTGGTCCAATGACAGATGAAGCCAGCCAAGGACAGTGCGAAATCTTGCTCAGGAGTCTGTGTGGAGCCGACTGCAGGAAAACCAGAGACAGAGGGAGAACAGCAGCTGGAGGAAAACACTTCGGCTGCCTCACCGAAAGTTCAGGCAGACGATCCCAAGGTGAGGCCTTGGACGACCTGTCCACGGAAACAGCTTGTACACCTGCACGCCCCACAGCAAGAGAAGCCTGTTTATGGCTGGGCCTGGCAAGCAGTCAAGGCCCTGCTGGCCTCTCCTGTCCCATGGCCGTGCCGGACCTTGCTGGGGCTAGAACTCTAGGCAAGCATGCTGAGGGAGAAGTGCTCACCAGAGACAGAGGTCCAAGCCCCCCTCTCTCCAGTGAGCTCCAGGTGCAGAAGTGGTAAATATTCATTCTGCAGAATTGAGACTGTCTTTGTAACTTAAAATGAGCACAGAACTTCTGTTATTTATAGTATCTGGAGAAGTCAGGTAGGACCTAATGTTCATAACAAGGGTGGGATGGGTTGCCAGGCTTAAAGGGACACTGGGAGACAACACAAAGGTGCTTTGGGATGGTCCCGAGTCCTGCTTGTTCAACACACTGCTTACACCATTACAGATAACCGAGGCGGGCATGAGAAGTTACTGGTAGGTGCCTATTAAGGTGTAATATGCCTCTGAATGTAAGTCAGTAAAATCCTAATCCTGGTGTGTGTGTAGAAGCAAATTTATCCTGGGTTATTTGATGAATGTCTTGTGAGAGAACAGAGACTGGGCCAGGGAGTGATGTTTGGAAGTAAGAGGTCCCAGTAGGATGAGGGAGGCATAGGCTAGATGCAGCTGAACGCCAAAAGGCCCAAGCCCTGCAGGTCCTGTCACCACCTGGGGGCCTTTCCCAGAGGACCAAGCGCAGGGCTTGATACCAGGGTCATGAGGCTGCTGCTGTCCCTAGTGCCTCCCGAGTTAGCTGGGGACTACGGACCATGCAGTGTGAGTGACTCAGAGAGATCAGCTAGGGAAAATCAGATTATCCTGGAGGTTAGTTTAACGGTGTGAACAATGGAATTTGGCTCTGAACTACAGGTGGGCATTGGCTAGCCTGAGAGACACCTATCCTGGCTGCTGTCGAAAGTCGGGGAGGTCTGCACTCACCTGGTTCCTGAAGTTGAGCATCAGAAGCTCCAAACCCAGAGAGGCGCTGACTCAGTGGGACCCAGCAGCTCAGGCGCCTCTCTGTCCTCTCAAGCTCCCATGCAATTCTGACACGGTGAGTTCTGGTGTATGGGAAGGCCAGTGGGAGGTCTCAGCAGGCTTTATGAGGGCCTGGGGGGCTGTGCTGCAGCTGGAAATGGTCTTACTGAAACTTGTACACACAGAAAGCCCACACACAACCAACACTTCTTAAATGAATTAACTTTTATTGCTACTTTTTAAAGCTTAATATTTTCCTAAAAGGAGAACATCAGTTTACCTGCAGTAAAGTTACAAGCAGACAGCTATAGATAATACAGCCACTAGAAAAAAGAGCAGAGCTAAGTAATATGAAGAAAAAAACAGTAAGCAGCAATAAAATACCTACATAAAACTAGCAGTGCAACAAGGTAAGCAGAAAGCAGCTTTACACTGAAAAAAAAAAAGTATTTAAATACAGAAATAGCACCTTACAAAAAGATATTGAGAAATGTAAACTTGGTAGGTCAATTCAAGTATAAAAGTTATACCCCCAACTCTTGTACCAGAATGAAAGGGTTTCACAAACCCTGGACTGCGCAGGGCACACGCCTTACTCTGTGCCAACTCAGAGCTCGTTTCCTTAGCAGGATCACGAACAATTTTATTTTCTTTCACTAAATTATACAAGGGTAGACTCAAAATTGCCATTGCGTCTTCACTTCCCCAAGTACCAAGTCTAGATCAGCCACAGCATAACTGGTAGTTGCTCTGGAGGTAACAGACTCATTTTCCGTCTAGAAACAAGCATTGCATTGGATTTTTGCATGTCACGAAGCCACATTAAAAAGCGGGTGCTGAATACAAAAGGGGTTTGTTGTTTGCTATTGCTAATTTGGGTTACAGAGTCATAAAATTCTCATTTGGGGGTTGCTTCCTAACACCCCTCAAGAACCGTGAATTCTCTGAGGCTTATGAGGTCGTATCATAAACAGAATTAACAAGATAGCAAAGGAGTTAAATAAGGGGGGAGTATCCCAGAACAGTGAGGGGAAAAATCAGTGTGTTTTCATCTAAATGCAGACCTCTCAAGTGAAAATATTTTGTGGACGTTCTTAAGTATGGTGTATTTAAAATGCATGGACCCTGCGGAGATTCATATGAACTGCATGTCCTGTAACAATCGACCCGGAAAAGGCACATTTTATTTGTCTCAACAGGGAACCCATATTCAGGGTAATCATTAACATGCAATTGTTGACAACTAGGGCCACGTTTTTATCTGTTGAACTTTGGAGAAGTCTATGAAAATGATAAAAAAACCCCATCCTGTAAACTTTAAAAGTTTAGTGTTGATAAAAATTTTATATAACAAATTTATTTAATCTGGCTACCTACCTCAAGTTTAAAAAATCTTGTGGGGGTAATAAGGCTAATATTATCCTGTAGTTAATATAAAGCATCTTTACTCAGACTCCCAGAGTCTCTTAAATTAATATTTTTATTCTTTCATATAACATTATATTGGGTCCAAAAATAAAAATAAGACAAAACCCTACACCAAGATTCCAAACCTAAGACAGAAGTTTAAAAAAAAAGTGAAAGAAATGAAGAAAGGGAGGAAGAAAAGAAGGGAGGCAAGGAAGGAAAAAGATATTTACTCTGAAGAGACAAAAAGGAGGTAAATATTAATAAATCTAAGAACACAAAGATCTAGTTTGGCTACTTAATGAAACCCTAAGGTAATAATATGGTTTAACAAAGGGATCTGCAGAACAGTTTCCAGAATTGTATTCATGCCAGAACAGTGAACCCCTGCACTCACCATTTTTGTTTTTTGTAAGTTCTCTGAAAAATAACTGGTTTGAATACTCTTGGATACTGAACGTAATGTATCCACTTTTCCTCTTACTCTTCTGAATACAAAGAAAACAAGCAGAAGAAAAAATGAAAGTATCACCTATCATCCTTTATCACTTTCTACATTATGTACTCTTCAGAATTCTACTGAAAGGTCCCATCCAGGCTCCAATTTTCCATATGAGTACTTTCTACCATCCTGATTCCGTCAATAAACAGCAATTGTTAGAAGGCATCCATACCTGATACTCTACCATTAATGTTTAAATAAAACACCTCAGGGGCACGTAGTGAAGGAAACTGACACGGTAGGATTTTCACAAATGGACTGGAGAACCTCACTATTCACACAGTTGTCTGAGAAGCAGCTGTGGGGACCTGGAGGTCGCCTTAGTTCGCATGCCCAGAGAGGGCCAGCGAGTTCATTGGAGCAAGGTGTGCCATTCACAGTTGTTTTGGTTTTGACGTTCTGTCATGTACATACATTTATCCACATTATTACTAGGTCGTAAAGTAAGTGCAGGGCAAGTCATAGGAAAAAAGTATAAACATTCAAGTCGTCATACCCTGAAAAACATGTGTTTTGCTGTAGTTGTAAACTTTTTGCACTAAATCCCACTTCAGGAACAAAATAAATAATACCATAGGATTCACAACTGAAGCAGGCTTCCTGACGAAGCCTAAGGAAGCAGTAGCTTTTTGAAACTGCAGAAAGCAAGTCTCTCTCCACCACAGATCTACTCAGAGTGAGTGGAAATACGTGTCAAGAACGTTCACCCTCCTTAAGTGCTAGACAGGCCCCTCCTTTAGAAAGCCACAAGGCTCCAGCAGCCTGTTCTGGTCGATTTCCAGCAATAAGATGATTCTTGAATCAAAACCACAAAGTCAGTCGGTGCTTTCACTGTGACACCGTGCAGAGTCTGGACTCTAACTGGTATTAAATGCACAATTAATAACAGTTACTTTCAGGAAAATAGATGATTCATGATGATGGGAAGTTAACAGAACCAGTGGATGAGAGAGGAAGGATGTGTGAAGCTGGGCGGTTTGCATTCTGCTTTCCATTCACGTTAGGGCAGCCCCTGTAACGCGGGGAAAGGCAGGTGGTCCGATCCCAGCTGGCAAGGTGCCGGGTCAGTCAGACCCGCTGCTTGGGATCTCGAGTCTCCTCTGCGCTGAGCTGGCATTCCGTGACTGACTCCTTTCTCTTCTAAGGCCGGGGTCTCCGAGGCTGCCAGGTGTCTTGAAAAACGTCTCATGATGTGTGTGTTGGAAGCTCTTCGGGGTCACTGGAACTGGTGACTGGAAAACACACCAAGAGTGAATACAAACACAGGTGAAGTCAAATCGGTCTGACGCTGAGCCAGAGGCGGCCTCTTTCCCTGTGTCATTACGGCCCCCCCTTTGCTTTTCCATCACTCCCACTGGTTCGTCCCCTGCACAACACTCAACACAACTGGGAATGACTTCTCACTCATTTTGCATGCAGAAAGGCAGCCCAGCAAAGAGGTTAAAAGTGTGGCGCTGGCTCCTGGGCCAGGGTCTGGGCTGTGCCGGGACTAGCTGGGTGACTTGGCACATTGACCCGTCTATCCTCAGTTTCTACACCCACACACCGGGGATGGAAAAGGACAACTAGCCATGGCTGTAAGAATTAAAAGAGGTAATATTTATGAAGCACATTAGGCCATGTTAGGCAGATAGTAAGTGTATGGGTCTTGGCTCTTGTTTACTTGCTGATATTTATCCTCTCCTGTTAAATGTTAAGTATTTATCCCTTTAATGTTCTCTAAAAGGGAAGGGACCATGGTCCTGTTTACTGTTATGTCCTCACTGCCTAGTGATCAAAAAGCATATGATATGGTATGATCACCTTGTTTAAAAACAAACATGTTTATTTTTCAATGTCTAGCAAACCCTGAGCCTGAGTAACTTGTCTAAAACATTTTAGGGCCCAATGTAACTTTTTCTGGGAAAGAAAAGAATCACTCTGAATATAATGCCTAATGCATAATAGGAATTCAACAAATATTTACTGAACTACAAATGGGGGAGAAATATAGTACTGATTATACTGATTATAGGTTTTATATATTTTATATGAATATATTATATATATATATATCCATTGCGTCCTAAACATTACATTTTAAGAAAAGACAGATGCTAGAAATCTTTGCATTTAGTATCAAGACTTTCGTTTCCCTTGACTCTTTCAATACCTATACAATTAAAATTCAGGGTGGTCTCCTTTATTGACCTAATGCAACGAAAGTTGGAGAAATCATCTGAATATTTGGCATTCAGCAAAAATCCCCCTGAACCATGCCTGAATTAAGTGCCCCTAATTTTAATTAACAGATTGACAACCAAGGAATATTTTTGCCTCCAAAGCACAGAAGATTCCACCATAAGTCTCTGTGCTTTACAAAATGATCAGACAATTCTGGGTCTGTAGCAGAACTTGCATAGAGCCTGACCTACAGCCTGTCCCAGTCATGTGACTAAAATAGAAGCTAAGCTGGAGGCATGCCCCGTCAGAGTGACAAGTCTGGTTGTGCCAAAGTGAAATAAACTTGAGAACTCACCTGCTGTAATTTTACTGCAGAGACCGGATGTGCCCCATAAGCGAGGGATTCGGGCTGGATGACAGTGTGTGATCTTGACATTATGGGACTCAGGTTAAGTGAGCATGAACCCTGTAGCTGAGGGTCTGCAGAGGGGAGTGGAGATGATTTTGGATTAACCATGGCTGCAGGGCTGATGAGGAGATGAGCTGCTGATCTGAGGCCAGGCAAGCCAAAATTCACAGGTCCTGCGTTTGGGAGAGTGGCGTGGGCAGCAGAAACTGGCCCAGGCATTGTGCGAGAATAGAGGACAGGGAAGGGGCCCAGTGCTGGGGACGGCAAGACCATACAAGGAACACCAAGGGCCGGCGGCTGGCCTGAAGACGGCCCCATGGCATGGGGGGTCTGACCGCCTGGCAGGAGCACACTGAAACCATTTAATCCTGAAACAGAGCAGAACAAGGTGCATGTCAACACACATGAAGATCTCATTCCAGCTCAGGTTCCTCACAGCCCCTTCCCACGGGAGCCCCAACAATCATCCCAGCCAGCCAGGTCAAGCCCCTCTCCATGCTCTCCCAGCCTCACGCTGCTGCTCCATAGCAGCGGCTACTCCTGAAATTCCACATTCACCTGTGGGATAATTTGGTGGCTCCTTAGAGGGTTTGATGAATGTGAGCTACGCTGAACCCAAATTGAGGAGGAAAGTCAACTTGGAAGAGAAGTCATATCTAATCTGAAGCATTTCCAGCTGGAATTTTTATTTCCCCCCTTCAGATCACAGGCAACAAATTACAATGTTATCAATAGCATCCTGACTGTCGTGAGTAGAGAGCAGATCTGTTCACACAACATTACAGCTGTGGCAGGCTTCTTCATGGCCTGCTGAGCTCACAGAGACTTCAAAATTATGAGGTTACTAGGCTCGCTGTCAGATCTTTATATCACTATAATTAAAACACTTATTTCTCTACCTGAATTTCAGTAACATTGGCTTCCTTTGCAATCCTATGTATTTAGTTCTATGCATTTTGTAAACATTCTGAGGAGGAATCTGTGGGCCTCACCACAGTGTCAAAGGGTCCCCACCCCAGAAGAAACCACCAGTCCCTGCGCTGGGCTCTCACTTTCCGTCAGCAGGAGTGAGTCTGGTTTTTGCTGGTGTATCCACAACACTCATATCATGCTGAGATTAAGCCCTCAAAAATATTTGTTAAAAGAATAAAGAGTGTTTTCTAGATAAGTGAGTAGTAAGTACCTACCTAACCTGTCAAATGAAAAGGAATTGGAAAAAGTTGATTTAAGTCTTGTTGCAGTAAGAGCAGCTTCATGTACACATTGTGTATCTCAAAAATTAGGTATCTATTATATTTCTGCTTTATTTCAAGATAGTAACAGCATTTACTGAGTCTTACTAAGTGTCGGCACTATTATTCTAAGTGCTTTAGATGTATTATTAAATTTAATTTAATTTTCAGAGCATCCACATAAAGCAGGTGCTATTACTGCTATTATAGTTGTTACACCAGCGAGGAGGCTGTCTTAATTTCACACAGGTAGTAAGTGGTTTGAACATCCAGCCTTCTCACTCCAGGTCTGGACCCACAATGACATGCACCGTATTTCTGGATATTCAAGAGATCAGTGAGCTATAGCAACACAGTTGCCAACAGGTTCATATTATTAAACCGAGCCAATGCTAGGTTCAGCTGGACCATAGAAACAGAATCACCTTTTGAATTCATTGTCTTTTTACCAAATAAAGTTTCATGCATTAAAAACAAACAAGCCCTGCCCCAATTATTTTCCCATTATCCTTGAGACAGATGAGAGAGAAAGCAGCCTCCACCATCACCTCCCAGATGGAGAAACAAGGGGTCAAAGCGGCTCAGAGGCTCTACACAGCAGCTCAAGGGCCCACTCTGGTCAGAGGACGCGGACAAAAACTTTTTAAGATCCAGTTTATGATCTGCCTGGTCTAAGGGACTCTGAGACACGATTCCATCCCTTACCAGCTGGCGACGGCACATAGAGGTACTGCAGCAAAGAAGGATCTTTGATGTCTTCTCCATCTTTTGAAGACTTTTCAATCTCAGGATTTCTTGAAGGATTTCCCCAGTCAGAAGAAATGAGGCCATCTGCTGTGGCCTTTCCCGAAGCCTCCTTTGGAGCAGGGAGCCGGCCACTCATGTGAGCATCACCAAGGTGCACGGACTTCCCATCACCCATGGTCTTGGGAAAGGCAGTGTTGGTGGGATCTGAGGGTTTCTAAACACAGCCGAACCAGGAACCAGAAAAGCAAGTCAAAACCCCAGTAGTAAATCTTAACAGCTTTCTCAAAAGAGCTAACATGAGCAGAAAGGTCACATGTGGCTATGTGCCACACTGACTTTTGTGTATCAGTCATATTTAGAGGAATGGTCTGAAAATCGATGTCACATCATGTACTTCTGTAGGCTTCTGACTCTTAAGCACAGAGATGATGGAGATTTTACATAATGGAGAACTAGCCATGGTATTCAGATTGTGAAATAAACTTCTGAGTCACTAACATATAAAGGGTGTTGATGTCACAATCGTTTAGGGGCCTAATAAGGATTGCGGCACCAGCCCAAAGTCACCTTAGTGGCTGAGACATAGACCATCGGTCTTTCCCTTCTGTTCTGCAATCTCAGGCTAGGGACAAAACTAGAAAAACTCATTCTGGCAAGCGAAGGGAATAGAGAAAGGGTCTGAGATGAATGGACTGATGTCCGTGAAGCATGCCTAGCTGAACTCCTGCAAACGGCCGAAATGACAATGCTTCTCCTTCTGCGAGTTTCATGGTCACATCCCATTAACCTCTGAATGGCTACCAAGTGGGAGACATGGGCAGCTCCTCTTCGTTCTTTTCCTTTCATAGCTAAGGAAGTGGGATCTCTGAGCAGAGAACTGGCAGGCACTGATGCCCACAGCACTCATGTCCTGCCTCTCAAGTCAGGTGCCTCTTGGATTAAGATGATTATTTAAGGACAGCAAAATGACTGGGAGGATTGTGTACACGTTAGCAGTGATGGCCTCCATGTGGTGTGGTTATGGGTAGTGTTTTTTTCTTTATACTTTTCAGAGTTTTATGCAAAGTGTGACTTTTATAAAAATTGCTTACTTTTCTTTCAGTAATATTTGATGGCAAGATTTTCTGGGAGAACCAGCCCTCGGCTTCATACAAGTGGAGTTCGACACTCCTCATATTCCAGAGTCAGTAGCTTATTCCTATCTGTGCACCTTTGTTAAGAAGCAGCTCTGGGCTGTGGGGACGCCAGAGCCCGTCCACCTGAACTCCCTTACCTTGGGTATGACGAGGGACAGAGGGCTTTCTCTGTCCCTACTTTGTCTTTTAGTGACTGGCTCCTCCTCATGGGGCTTCCTCTCCTCGCCAAGGCGCTTCTGGACTGAGGGTGGGGATGACGGCTGTGCTGCTGTGACTTCCAAGCTTCCGCTGTCCCTCTCTGACCCTGGGGCCGGCCTCTCTTGCAGGCTCCTGCACAGCATGAACAGCGAGGTGGAGGGCACATATACCAAGGGCTGGCCGGCCAGCAGGGCCGGCGTGAGGGTCTCCTCGTCTGAGGCCACAGAAGCGGCTGACACACCTGCTTGTCCCTCCAGACCACTCTGCTGGGAGGCCTGCGAGTCCGTCTGAGCCACAGAGAATACGTGGTGGGCAAAAGGGCTAACGCAATGTTCTGAGTCAACAGAGGGGGTGGGGCAAGGGGTAGTGGGGCCCAGGCTGCGTGGCAGAGGTGTCATTCTCTTGCTGGCAAAGGTCTCCCCCCTGTGATGAAAAGAAACACAATGGGGATCACCCAGTTACCACGCTGGAGTGGCTCCTAACTCTGCTTTTCTGAAGGGAGACTTCCGGAAGGCGGAGAGAACACTGCTCAGGCTGGTATCAAGGTCCACTCCCCAAGCACATGGTAGCTGACCCTAGAGGCAGACAGCCACATAACCCGATGGACGATTAGGGCTGATGAGGAGCTGAGAGGCGGCGGGGATGAGCTCTCAGGGGCACCTCAGGTTAGAGCTAATGCTCCTCCTCTGCCTCTTCCGCATCCGATAGTTACCGGTTACCCAGTACATAGCTCTTACCAGCGTATGCTTACCGTGGGTGCTATAATGATGATGAGCCTAATATTATAATGATTTATATTATTATCGTAATGGAAGCAATTCTCATTTCCTCTGTTTACTGGGGAGGAAAACTGAAGCTCAGAGACGGTCTGGTGCCCAAATTGATATATACTCTTACATTTCTCTTTAGAATGTGGCCTCTCTTTTCACGTACTTGTCTGGCTTTGGGGTCTCAGCAGAAATTGAGATAACAAGAAAAGTCAACTTTAACATCTAGTAACAACAGAAAGTGTTCAAAAGTGTTAGTTAGCTTCAGAAGATCGGAGACTGATGAGAATTGGGCTTGGGGTGGATTAATGATTGTGCATTGAGTCCCCTGTACAGAATTTTATTGTTGTTAACTGTTAACAACCATTTGATCAATAAATATGAGAGATGCCCTCTCAAAAAAAAAAGTGTTAGTATGGTACTGATAGCGCTATTGCTCGTGAGCTCTTGGGCCCTGGAAGAGTTGACTGCAGGTACACAGAGTGGAACACAATAGCTACAGGGGCAAGTCTGCATCTCAGCTCCCCTGGAGGA